GGAATCTCTGCAGCAGATGGATGCTTGCTAGGGGCAGGTTTCCCCTGTCCTTCCTGTGTCTCTCTGGCCCTCAGGGAAGGTGACCTGCATGACTACACTGAGTGATTGGCTCAGACCTCTGAGAGAAAGGGGACTCATGCATCAAGTATCCCAGGGTCAGAAGGCTTCACCAGGCACACTTCCAGCTGCCCACCCCTCCCAGGGCTACGGCCCCATGGTGGCCATGCTCCCACCTCAGGGATCCTCCAGGGAAGTCCCAGGCAGCAGCTCTGACTGTTACCTCTCCACATAACCCTCTGCAGGTTTGTGCTGCTCTAGACATTGGGGCTACAGGATGCCTGTGAGCAGGAACCACTTACGCAGTTTCCTGTGATTTTCCATGGCACTTAGCCCTGCGCCAGCTTGCTGAGGTCAGTGGGTATGTGTTTGTCCTGGGTAGGGCTGCCAACAGCCCCTCCTCCACAGGCCTCTCAGACCAATGTCCATATTCTCTCTTGTCCAACCAGGAACATCTTTGAAACTGACAGGGAGCACTATCATAATCACGTTGGTCAACAGGCACAAAACAGGACTGTCCTAGGTGAACAGGGATGTGCCATCACTATGCATGCTCAGCTGAGTATAAGCATGAAAGCCAAAGTTGGGGGGCTGCAGGTGAGGGATGAGGGGTTTTTATGTGTCCACAGGTATCTCTGTAATCAGAAGCAACCTTTGCTGCCTGGAATCACTGTTGAACTCTTGATGTCTCAGGTTCATTGAGGGACCCTCTGCCTGTCTCAGGGGAATGCGTGCTCTGCAGTTGCTCCTCACCAAGAAAGTGGGGCAGCCAGAAATGAGGGAGATGATCCCCAGTCTCTTTGGGCCCCTCAGGATTTTACGTGTCTGGCATCTGTGTCCCCAGGGTTCCTTATAATTCAGGACACCCACAGATGGTGCTCTTTCTCTTTCTCCGGCCTGACCYACAGCATTAGGTGACCAGTCCTTGGCCCACTGTGCCAGTGTCCCTCTATGACTCTGGACCATTTTCTTGTTACCCGCCTTGGCTATTGGTGGCTGTTGTTAAAGCACTGTCTCTGCTGTGGTTTTGGCTGCTGCTTCTACTTAGCTTTGTGTGTGCAGGTGTGAGTGGGGACACTGTGGACTGTTAGGCAGCCCTGGRTAGTATCTTTATAGGTCCTTCAATTTCTATGGCCTATGGCCTTTGTGGATACACACTGATCTTTCCCAATCCCTCCATGTCTGGTGCTCATCACACCTAGTGTGGCCATCAGGATCTTTGAGGAGGGAGGTGCTACCTGTATGGCTATCCTGCCCAGCTACCTTAATTAATTTATTTATTTTTGGTACCATGGATTAAACCCAGGGACACTTAACATCTGAGTCATATCCCCAGTTCTTTTTAAAAATTTTTGAGACATAGTCTCATTAAATTTCTCAGGGCCTTGTTAAATAGCTAAGGCTGGATTTGAACTTGTGATCCTCTTGCCTCACCCTCCTGAGCCGCTAGGATTTCAGGCATGTGCCACCACACCTGGCCCAGCTGCTTCTCTCTCTGCTTCTTCTGGTTCTTTCACAGCAGGTGTTCCCTGAAGCTCCACCGAACCCTTCTCTTTTCTATTCTCCCTCCATCCTTTCCTACACACCATGCTCCTGTGAGCACCCCCATCCTTGACCCCATAACCAAGTTCCCCTCATCCTTCCCTCCCCGCCATATACCTGGCACCTTCATGCCAAGATCTGCCTGCGCCTCAGAGGCCAGATTCCCTTCAAAGCGTTGCTGCTCAGAATGTTCGGGCTCTTCCAAAGGGACCTCCCCATCCCAGGCCTGGGGGGTGTTAAGACTTCCTGCCCAATTTCCTGCCTACACAGCCTCCAAGCCATTCCTGCTCCCTTAGCAGCCTCTGCCCTTGTATTAGCTCTTCAAGTCACATGGGGAAGATTGGAATATTCTGTTTCCTTGCTTGGCCTCTGCTCTCTTGCCTCATTTGTCAATACCACTCCATTCAGCTCCACCGGCATCCCTTAGCTCTTGTGTGTATGTCTTAAACATACAGCTCTATGACTTTACATATGCATACACCCTTGCAAATCTCTGCCCAGAACAAGATACAGAGCTTCTGAAGGGACCCCATGCCACTTGTGAGGAGCAGCAGAGACTGAGGAATTGAGAAAGAGCAGTAGATGCTAGGAAGGGGCAAAGACCGTTGAAATTTAGGGATGATTTCCTAGAAGAGGGAAACATGTGATCCGGACCTCAAATAACAATAATAGCCCTTTGCAGTGCTTATTGTAACTGCAAAAACCAAGAAAAACTGCACATTCAGCAGGACACTGGATCAACACACCTGGAAGACACTCAAATGTATTGTTGTGACAATGGCCCAGCATGGCATAAATTTCAAGGACATAATATTGGGTTAAAAAAGGTAAACTGAAGACTGATATGCATAGCAGGTGCCATTGATATAAATTCTAAAGACACACAAAGCAATGTTATACTTTGTTATGAATACAGATGCTTGCGCTAAGAGTATAAACAAATACACGGGAATGACAAATGCCAGATTTGCCTCTGGGGAGGCAGGGAGAGAGAGAGAGAGATTGCAGCTGGGTTCTATTTTTTTTTTTTTTTTGAAAGGAGCAAGAGGAAGGGATCTAAGGCAAATATGGCAAAATGTTAACATGTGTTCAAAATGGGTGGTTATAGTACATAGGTGCTTGTTATATAATTTTTCTACTCATTTGTGTTTTATTCTGTAATTAAAATTTTAAAAGAAGTTAAAGAAAATATAAAAAGGGAAGTGGCTTCCCTCCAGGGAGCCTGTGTGAATCAAGGTGCAGGGGGAGAATGAGGGTGATTATGAACAAGATGCAGGGGGSCAAGGCCAGCACAGGGGTGTGGGGATGGAGCTCAGAGAGTTCTAAATCCTGGGTGGCTGAGTAGGTGTCTAAGGTGGGGACACACCCACTCTCTCCTGACTGCTTATTTGTCTTCTCCAGGTGTGTTGCTTTCAGAACATTCCTTGCCCCTGTGCTCACAACAGAGTTTGGATTTTCTTCCCAGAGCAGTGGGAAAACTCTTTGGGACAGATGACTTCAAGTGGGGGCTTTACTCATGCCTTACTCTGAGTTAGCATCAGCATATCCAGCACTTGCTAAGTGCCACAATTATATTCATGCAATATTATTCTCACCACAGCACTCTAGGCTGGCATTATTATCATCACCACCATCCCTATGTATAGATGAAGAAACAGAGGCACAGAGTGGGTAAGGGACTTGCCTGAAGTTCCACAGAGGCAGAGCTGGGATTTGAACCCAGGCTGTTTGGTGTCAGAGCCTGTGACCCTCAATGTGGCACTCTATAGTCTCTCATATGCCAGGTGCTGTGCTGGCCACTGTGGATTCATGATGAGACAGTTATGGGACCTTGCCATCACAGAGCTTCAGAGCCAGTGGGGAAGTCAAACATCAAATCAAGCAACACACACATATGTAACTATAACTGATGATTCAGTGAAGACAGAGAACCTTATCCTTTGAAAGAGAAAATAGGGAGGACAACTGAGACTGATAACTCTAAGAAAAGGGGACATTTGTGTGAAGATCTAAAGGATGATGAGTTAGCCAGGAGAGGCTGCTGGTGGGTGGAGGTTGTGYGTGTGGGGGGAAGCTGTCCAGATAGAGGGAAGAGCAAGTGCAAAAGTCTAGAGTCAGGTATGGTTTGGTAAAGGAACCAGACAGGATCAGAGTAGTGAAATATGCAGGGGGCAGGTAGAGGGAGGGAACAGGGGCAAGGTAGAGGGAGGTAGCCCCTTCCTTGGGACCTCCCTTTCTGGAGGGGAATTACATGTCTGGGATTGCCCTAGTTCATGTCAGTGGTTCTAGTGTAAACACTCATAATGTCCCATTTTGGCCTGAACAATAAAAATTTGAAGGTTACCTTCTCCAGGCCATGGTAGAGTTTGGATTTTCTTCCCAGGGCAGTGGGAAAACATTGAGGGATTTAGTAGGAGAGTGACACATCTAATTCATAATGTATAAAGGTCACTGTGCCTGCTGTGGGGAGAGGGCCTGCAGTGGAGGGGGGGGGCGCGTGAGGCATTGTTTCTCCCTTGACTCAGTCTCACAAGGTAAGAAGGGGGCAGGTCAGGGAGAAAAGGCACTGGGGGGGGGGGCTCTGCTTGAGCAGGCTGAGGCTGCAGCTGCATGGGAAATGATTCCAGGCAAATGTCCCCACAGTTGCTGCCTCCTTCTCCTCCCCGTACTGGTCCAGCCCCTAGTCCCTGCTGCAAGAGAGGTCTCAAGGAGTGAAAGGAAGCGCCTGAGAACATTGCCCATATCCCAGGGCAACTTGTGAAGGAATTAGGAAAGTTCCCCGACTTCATAAATTTCAGAAATGATTGTCCATTTTGTAATTTGCCCTGTTTTTTTTCCCTTCTTACCCCACACAATCCTCTCCTGCAACTCCTTCAAAAAGAGCCTTCAGACATAAAAGCTCAGGATACACTCACAGATACCACTGAGGCCAGCTTCCAAACTGAAGGAGTGCTGAAGGAAGCAGGTGGCTTCTAGAGTATGGTGATGCACAGGTGGACGGGCCAGGGCCTGCTTCTCATGAATGAATGAACACAAGGGGACCTACCCACTCTGTGCCTCTAGTTCCGGATGGCGGGTATTGTAGGGGTCACATACACAGCTGACCACACAATGTGGGCGATATCTACAAGGATTTCTCATGGTCATGGGGGGCTGGAAACAAGACCGGATTTGTAATAGCAACGAACAGGAGAAGAACAAAGAGCTGGAACCCTGTGAAACGAAACCTGCTTCTCATTTTCCCTATACAAAGTAAGAGATCAGGAAAGTCGCTGAATCAACCCTACAGGGTTAGGATGGAACCCTAAGGAGGAGGTGGAGGATCATCCATGTCTGCCAGGAAGCCATAGCTATAGGCTTGGAAAGGAAATGAAGGGGCTAGTGGGAGAGGGATCGCTTACCCAGCGGCAGGACGAAGAAGAAGGGGAACCAGCAGAGCACGAAGACGCCCACGACGATGGCCAGCGTCTTGGCTGCCTTCTTCTCACGGGAGAACTTGAGCAGGCGAACAGATAGCGAGCTGCGGAAGGTGTGGCCCTTGGTACTCCGAGTCCCATGCGTTCCTTCTGCGCCGGCGGCTGCACCACGACAGTGGATACGCAGCACCACCTCGGAGGCCTTGCCCCGCTCACGCTTGACGCCCGCCTCGAGGCTGCGCGTGGTGCTGCGCGCGACCACGTACACGCGGCAGTACATGACCACGATGACTGCCATGGGCAGATAGAAGGAGCACACCGAAGAGAAGACAGCATAGCCCGCCTCCTCCGTGATGCCGCAAAAGCGCTCGTCCGGGGGCACGGGCTCCTTCCAGCCCAGCAGAGGCCCCACGGACACGACGAGGGCTACGGCCCAGAGCAGCGCTAGGATGGCCGCCGCCTTGCGCTCTGTCATGATCGCAGGGTACTTGAGTGAGTGGCGCACGCCCACGTACCGATCCACCGAGATGGTGCAGAGGCTAAGGATGGAGGCCGTGCAGCACAGCACGTCCACCGCGGCCCACACGTCGCAGAAGGCCCGGCCGAAGGCCCAGAAGCCCAGAACCTCCATGGTGGCGGAGAAGGGCAGAACGGTGGCGCTCAGCAGYAGGTCGGCTACAGCTAGGTTCACTATGAAATAGTTGGTGACCGTCTGCAGGTGGCGGTTGCAGGCCACCGAGAGGATGACAAGTAGATTGCCCGCTACAGCGGTGAGGATGAAGGCTGCCAGAAAGACACCCACCCCCACCCCCTGCGCACTCACAACAAGCCCCCCGACGGCCGCTGTGCCGTTCACCTCGCCACCCGCGCCCGCGCCCCCCGGCTCCCCAGCGGAGCTCTGGTTGTCCTCGCCGCCGCCCGCTCCCACCACGCCGCTGCCGCCGCCCGTGGCCCCCGAAACGCTGCCCACCGCCGGGGCCTCCGAGGCAGTCGCGCCGCCTGTGCTGCCCCCGCCGCCGCTCGCACTGGAGCCCCCGGAGCTGCTGTCCGGGCGGGGTCCCTCGAAAGTGACGCTAAGGAGGTCTCGGAAAGTCATCTCAACGTGCAGCCGTCGGGGGCCGAGCCGGGRTGCAGGACCAACAACTGACAGGGAGGGGGCAGGAGGGCATAGCCGCAGGGCTTCGGGTTCAGCCCCGCGCGCGAGTCGCGTCTGGGTCCTGCCCAAGTTCCTGTGATGCGTAGCGTGGCAGCTGGGGAGCGGAATGCCAGGTCGGGAGGCGGCTGGGGCTCCCCGAGGCCACCCGTGGAGTCGGATCGAAGAAGAGTCAAGGCTGGTGACTCGCGCAGCTCTCTGAGCGTGCCCAGGCGATCCGGCAAAGCAGCGGCTCCGGGACCCGGTGGTGCAGGCAGTGGCCACTGCGGCGCTCCCAACTCCGTGCGGGGGGCGGGACGGAGGAGGGGCAGCGCGTGGAGGGAGGAGGGGGCGGCCGGAGCCGAGAGAGGGGGCGCCGCGCTCCCTGGGAGAAGGGGCTCTGATCTCTGGGAGATAGCGTATGTGAAGGTCCGGAGGGGTTGCGGTGCTGACGCGCTCTCCGACTCCTAAGCCACCTACGCTTCGCCGCTGGTGCCAGCACTGCTCTCTTCCTTCGCTGTTCCCTTCGCGCGCTCTCCCGCWCCTCTTCTGGATCCCCTCTCCCGTTGTTCTCACTCCTCAGCCGCGTCCCTCTTCTTCTTCGCTTCCCTTTCCAGCCTCCGGGTCACTCACTGGTTGCCCTTGGGCGTGCGGAGCTYAGAAGGCGCGATTTCTTGGTCCCCAGACTCCCGACTCCGGCCGCCAGASAGCAGCAAGCGCCCGGGATCTGCGGACTGCGGACTGGACCGTGCAGTGTCGCGGCGGTCGCCTCCTGAGACTGCCTGGATCAATCTGCCGCACCTCTTTTTTTTTTTTTTTTTCTTTCAGGCCACAGGCTAGAGGAGGGTCTCAAACCCTTCTGCCAAGTACGAAGGCGTGGAGAGAGCCCGGAAGGGGTCAGAAGCCTGGTATAAGCTGAGGCCCTAGCTGGGTATGATGGGCGCCGGCCGWACAGACTGTGTGGCTATAGCCCTGAGACCCTGCCCAGGACAGTGATCTATGTAACACCAACTTTCGCACTGTTAGTTTACTCTACATCAAATGTCAGAATAAATCTTTCTATTGCTACTGCAAATAAGCGGCCTGGTGCTGGGGAGGGAGAGCACAAGTGCTGGAGGGTGGGAAAGGTCACTTGGCAGGATGGATGGGGGTGGAGGAGGGAAGAGAGAAGTCTGGCTCCAAATACCCAGGCTCCTCCCTTATTAGCTGTTGGATCTCTTTGTACCTACCTCAGTTTCTCATCTGTAAAATGAGAGTCAAAGGTAGCRTCTACCTAGTGCCTGGGTTTCTTAGTTGAGTAGGACTTAGAACGGCAGGRTCTGAACAGAGAGGACAGGGGGCAGAAGAAATGTGGCACTGGAATGAAGCACGGACACTGGTGGAGGTTAGAGTAGGAGGAGCCTCTTACTGACCAGCAGATCTGGCAGGRAGAGACACAAGACGATCATTCATTAAGCCAACATAAAATACTTAAGTGGCTGCTGGCCCTTATGAGCRACAGAAGAAGAAGAGTCAGTAGGGAGCATAAAGCCACCTCTTAGGTGCAAGATGAAGATGATTTAACACTTGCCAGGGGATTTTTTGGAAAGAAGGCTGGGAGGAGATGGGTCTTGGCGTCTCTGGCTGTGGCTARCAGGCAAGTTGTCTGAAAGTCCTAGATGAGAAGCTGCTTTGAAGAAAAAGCAGGAAATGGGAGAATTGTTGAAATATGGGTAAGCCCCTCCTCCAGCCCAGGAAGCCAAGGCTGTAATAATCATAACTTAGAAACAGTTCTTCAAGGCCCACAGTTACCCCATTAAATCATCCATGTTTTACTTGGGTCTGGAAATTACCACTGTGGGTTAAAATGAAAGCAATGTGGCTTTTAAGGGTTAGCTGGAAGCTGACCAAAAACAAAACCCTGAATCTGGGCTTCCTCTCTGAAAGGGAAGGGCACTGCAAGGGGATGCCAGGAGCTCCTCACCTGGGAGTGAGGGGAGGCAGTCCTAGTGTCCATGACTGGCTGCCTTCTCATAATGTGGGACAGGTGTAACCCCAATGGAGTCCATTTGGTTCTAGGTCTGGTGAGTTTTCAAAGAAGACTGGGGTAAGGAGAATGGGGCTGGAGCACTAGGGGATTTCTTCACTGGTGTCACAGAGATCTGTGCTTGATTCTGTCTAGAGAGCCAGCAGAAGGCTGGAGGTGTCTTTGCCAGCAACTGTGAGAAGGAGAGGTGGGGTAGGGTGCCTGGAAGAAGATGGGGCAGCCTCACTCCTTTTAGAATTTGGTGGTCCTCAGAAGGTCTGCAAGAGGATGTTTTAGAGATCTTTGGGAAGGAACATGGAAAGGCAGGAGCTGTGAGATCATCTGTCAGTTTCCTGTGCCAGTTTATCAGATGCTCAAATCTGGGAAGGGTCTAGACACATGTACTTCTGGCAGGGGCAAAGAGAGAAGGAGTTGTCTCTATCTGAAGAGAGGTTTTAACAGTGGAGAGACTGGGATAAAGCTCAATACTGCTCCAAGCACACCATCCACACCCACAAATTTGCCTGGATACATCATGGGCACCTCAAATTAGAGGTATTTAACAAAACTAAATTAAACTAAACTCACCATCTTGGAYACTCAAATTTTCAACTTGCTGTAATCCCTTATGAAAATGGAACCACCATCCAGGCAGTTACAGCAAGACACCTAAATTCATCCTCTGGTTCACCCTCTACTCCAAAACTAGCCAGTCTACGAGTTCTACTGATTGGTTTTGCCACTTMACTTTGTGAATCCATTTCTTCTCTCCGTAGTCTCTACCTTGGGTCAAGTCTAAAATTTCTCATTCTAATTTTCATTTCTACTTCAACCATGCCTCTTCCCGGTCTGTTTTTATATGGATCTTTCTTTCTTTGAATTTTTAAAAAATGTATTTATTCTAATTAGTTATATATGACAGCAGAATGCAATTCAATTCATATTACACAAATAGAGCCCAATTTTTCATGTCTCTGGTTGAAGACAAAAGTAGAGTCCCACCATTTGTGTTTTCATACTTAGGGTAATGATGTCTGTCTCATTCCACCGTCTTTCCTACAGCCCATACTCCTCCTCCCCTTTGCCCTAACTAAAGTTCATCTATTCCTGCCATGCTCCCCCGCCCATCCCCATTGTGAATCAACATCCTTATACCAGAAAAGACATTCCCGCCTTTGCTTTTTTGGGATTGGCTTACTTTACTTAGCATCATATTCTTCATCTCCATCCATTTACCTGCAAATGCCATGATTTTATTCTCTTTTAATGCTGAATAATATTCCATTGTGTGTATATATATCACATTTTCTTTATCCATTCATCTACTGAAGGGTATCTTGGTTGTATCTGTGGATCTTTCTAATTATGATCATTTTCCTCTTTTCTTTCTTCTCTGTTATCGGGGAATGGTGGTATGTGAAGTGATTAGTTTAGAGGGGATGCCAGGGATTATGAGTGGTTATTTTTTTGCAAGGATGCTGATCTGAGACTAGTCCACAAAGTACCCTAGTATTTATTTCAGCTACAAATGAATGAATGTGAATGAATTTCACATGAGATTTATGTTCTAGAATAGACATTGTCTATAGAGAYATGCTGTCCTCAAAATGGCTAGAACTTAGGGCCTGGGAACTCAGATTCTCAGGTACATCCCCAGTGTATTTCTATTTGTTTCCCTCTAACTGTCCCCTCTCAACTATCTCCAAAACTTCCTAGGGAAAGTAGACTTCAGGGAGAGTTTAAATGCACTTTTGATAAATAATTGGTCTATTCTATTTTTCGTTCTTCCTCAATTTGACTTGGCCTGTGGAAGCGTGGCCATCCTTAAAAGAAATGTTGGAGGGCTTTCTGAAAGTGTCATGCATGTGACCCATCAATGCTTTCAGCTGAAGAAGACTTGTGGTTGGGTTTATTCCTTTGGTTAAACTATTTGTCAYAGATAGTAGAAGAATGAGCAAGACCAGTGGTGGCCTCAATTGTGATGCAATATGAAACACACCCCCATCCACTSAACTCTTTCAATTAGAGTTGAACCCTTGGCAGGCAAAGTGTGACTTCTAACKGAAGAGCCTTCCTAGGGCAACAAGGAAGTCTTTAGCAGTTTTGTAGGAACTCTTACCTGGGAACCATGCAGTGGCATTCAGGCTCTGTACTTTCTCATTCTATGGCCTTTGGCAAATCTCTGGGCCCAGTTGTTTAATTTACAATACAGGGCAAATGGGATTGAACTAGAACAAAGATTAAAGCACAAGAACTAACTCTCTCTCTCTCTCTCTCTCTCTCTCTCTCTCTCTCTGTCTCTCTTTTGTACCAGGGATTGAACCTAGTGGTGCTTTACCACTGAGATACATCCCCAGCCCTTTTTAATATATAATTTATTTAGACATAGGGTATTGTTGAGTTCATAGGGCCTTGCTAAGTTGTTGGGGCTGGCTTTGAACTTATGATCCTCCTGCCTCAGCTTCCCAAAATGCTGRGATTACAGGTGTACCCCACTTTGCCCAGCAAAGCACAGGAACTCTTGCTTCAAGTAAAGTCTTCACAGAAACCCACATAGTTTCATTGGGAGCCCCCCCTCCCCAAGCCAGGGACACCCCCAAGGTATCTTGAGTACCAGGAGTCCTGTGGGAAAGTTGCTGGAACAATGAGTTCTGGAGAACCCTCTGGCCTTTGGGTTCTTTGTGTTTCAGTGGCATGACTCCCAGTTTAAGATGGAAGACTGAGCACCTATATTTAYCTTTCCTCTCTTATGGGACCTCTTTAGAGTGATAGTAAAGAAAAAGGAATGGCTTGTCTCACAAGTGAGAMGTTAACTTTAGTTTGTCCAACTCTGGCCTCTAGTCCCTAAAGAGCAGATCTGACACATCCTGGACCAACCCTTCCTTTGTGAAGATGCTATAGATTGATTGGCACCATTGGAGTCAAGATGCTAARTGGGAGACAGTATGTATGTGGAGAAGGTGATTGTGACTGATATATTCTGCTTGTGGGCACCCGCAAGCAGAATATATCAATCACAATCACCTTCTCCACATACATACTCAAGTTCTAGTGCCCTGTCACCATTCTGGGCAAATTCAACTAAACATCACCTATATGCCAGGAACTATTTTGGGCACGGGGGATATAATGTTGTATGAAGCAAAGTTTCTGCCATCCTAAGACTTGCATGCAAATGGCAGACAATGCTACCAAGGAGAGTTAGGAGGAGATTTTCCCATTTCCATGGACAAAAAGTTTCTCTGGGCTTGACATCTGGATCCTAGAGATTATTTCCCCTAATGAAATCTTCAAAAAAAAAATCCAATTTCAAAGGAACTCTTTTCTAAGACTTCTTCACCTCAGAATGGCAGTGGGGTGATGAGCACCAAATCTGAAAGGGTGCAAAGATCTTTCCTCTTTATTGGACCTCTTTAGAGTGATAGTAAATAAAAAGGAATGGCTTGTCTCACAAGTGAGAAATTAACTTTAGTTTGACCAACTCTGGACTCTAGCCTTTTTTTTTTATTGGTTGTTCACAACATTATAAAGCTCTTGACATATCATATTTCATACATTAGAATCAAGTGGGTTATGAACTCCCATTTTTACCCCAAATACAGATTGCAGAATCACATCAGTTACACAGCCTTTAAAGAGCAGATCGGAGG